AGAAGTAAATGCACAGGGCTAATAATATCCGTGATCGCTTTGCTGGCCGTCCAGTCTGCCCGTGCTTACTCGAGGAGATCCCGGATATCTTCGTCAGATTCTTCCTCGTAACGTCGCCTCTCCTCGGCTTCCAGCATCTTCCTGAGCATCTTCCTCTGCCTGACTCGTGCCTTGGAGCCCCAGTCGGCACTGGTTCCGTCGGCACCTTCATCCGCATCCACATCAATCTCTGCTCCGGCGTTCAGGCCACGCAGCTCGTTGGGCGACATCTTGGCCACCGCTTCTTTGGCCGCCGCCTTGTCCTGCTCATCCTGCTTTTCCAGCGTCTTCACGGCGTGCTTGGTAGAGTACTTGATGACGTGTGGCCGTATCAGCAGGTATGTGCAGACGACCATGACGAGCCGAAGCCAGCCGTGTGTTGATATGTCGGTAAAGCTCCTCTGTAGGTTGTTGGAGGCATTCTGGCCGTACTGGGACAATTGGGACACAACAGAGCCCAATGCATTCAGGGTAGCCTGGCCGGCGCCATCCTGTTGCTGTGATTGAGAGTCCATAGTATCAACCGTGTGTAGATCTCATAAAAGGGATGTAGAAGGGCGAAAAGATGCAGAGCCTTCGCTGCAGTAGGTAGGTGAGGATTTTTTATTCAAGGGGATGTATGTGTGCCGCGCGAACGAAGGTAGCCTCTTCTAGTAGTATACGACCAATATGTTGTCCTGGGGAAATGAGAGAAGACGGGCTTCTTATAGGCGATGCGGAGTGATGTTGAGAGTTTAAAAGGCAAACTTCCAGAGAGGCGGATGGAAGGTTTTTTGTTGGACACCGACAACGGGCAAATTCCTTAGTGAAGACGGCGTGCCCCGGACTATTTCTCCGAGGCTGCCGGCTGGACCTGGCGGACCCGATTGGCCCGATGGAGCGCCATTTAGAGGCCGTTTCTCCTAGATGCAACTACAAAGGCTGAATTGAAAAACGAGTACATGCAGCGATAATTGATAATTGGGCCTTTAAACTTTATTTTATCCTCTTGTTATTGATTGCTTACTTTTTGTAAACCTTGATAGGAAAGGGGCACTATATCCAATATTTTTCATTCACTGGGCGACTCATTGAAAGTCCTATGGCCTCCGAGGAGTGCTGACCGCAAGCGCATCCACAACCAAGTCTTTGCGGCGTCGCCGTGAAGACAGACAACTTGCGCGCTTTTTTTTTTTTATACTGGCCCCCCTTTTCTAAACCAGCAGCAACTTGAATAATGTATATATGATAAATAGGCTTCCTGGCCTATGGATTCTGAAAGCGAATTATACCATCAGCGGTTCCTTGTAGAAGAGGCTGCGTCTACCTTTTGTAGGTACATGTACCCATCTAGCCGTCTTTACGTGTAAAAATACATGTACAGTGACCAATCACGTGATGCTCCTTCCACCAGCGGCATGTTTCCAATCGGCATAGCGCAAAAGCTCTCAATGCTGGTGAGCTCACAAAAATTTCGTCGGCACTCACCCCAGAACGCCTGATCCGGCGCTGTGCAATTTTCCCCTCCCCCACCGTCCAAATATTTTTTTTCTTTCGCCTTCTCTTCTTTGGACCGGCATTGTGTATTTCATACCGGCGGCGCAACATGTCGACTGCATTCAGATCAATTGCCCCGTTTCTGCGGACGGCCCGGCATGGCCTCAAGGCCGGCAGCATCAACCCGCTGCAGGCTGCGCTCAAGAACAACCGAAGTGCCGCTGGTGTTCTCAACATCGCTCGCACATACGCTGTTTTCGAGCGAACCAAGCCGCACGTGAACATCGGTACGACGCCCTTTGGCTTGAATTGTTGGAGGGATTTGGCATTGACAGAGATTCTATTGTAGGCACTATTGGTCACGTCGATCACGGAAAGGTTAGTTCACTATAGCCTCTTACAAGACCGATGTCAAAGCGATCTTATATATTGACCAACTTCCGCAACTATAGACCACTCTCTCTGCCGCCATCACCAAGAGACAGGCCGAGAAGGGCCTGGCCAACTTCCTCGAGTATGGCGCCATTGACAAGGCCCCCGAGGAGCGAAAGCGAGGCATCACCATTTCTACCGCCCACATTGAGTACTCAACAGACAACCGCCACTACTCCCACGTCGACTGCCCTGGTCACGCCGATTACATCAAGAACATGATTACTGGTGCTGCCAACATGGACGGCGCCATCATTGTCGTTGCTGCCTCCGACGGTCAGATGCCCCAGACCCGTGAGCACTTGCTGCTTGCCCGACAGGTCGGTGTCCAGAAGATTGTCGTCTTCGTCAACAAGGTTGATGCCATTGATGACCCTGAGATGTTGGAGCTTGTCGAGATGGAGATGCGTGAGCTTCTCACCACCTACGGCTTCGAGGGAGACGAGACCCCTGTCATCATGGGCTCTGCCCTGATGGCTCTCCAGAACCAGAAGCCTGAGATTGGTGAGCAGAAGATTGACGAGCTGCTCAAGGCTGTCGACGAGTGGATTCCCACCCCCGAGCGTGACCTTGACAAGCCCTTCCTCATGTCTGTCGAGGATGTCTTCTCCATCTCCGGCCGTGGTACTGTCGTTTCCGGCCGTGTCGAGCGCGGTGTCCTCAAGCGCGACGAGGAAGTCGAGCTTGTCGGTAAGGGAGTCGATCCCATCAGGACCAAGGTTACCGATATCGAGACCTTCAAGAAGTCTTGCGAGCAGTCCCAGGCCGGAGACAACTCTGGTCTCCTCATTCGTGGTATTCGCCGTGAGGATGTTCGACGTGGCATGGTCGTCTGCAAGCCCGGCACCGTCAAGTCGCACAAGCAGTTCCTCTCCTCTCTCTACGTCCTCACCAAGGAGGAAGGTGGCCGTCACACCGGCTTCCACGAGCATTACCGACCCCAGCTCTACCTGCGTACCTCTGACGAGTCTGTCGACCTGACATTTCCCGAGGGTACCGCCGATGCTGCTGGCAAGATGGTCATGCCCGGTGACAACGTCGAAATGGTGGTCACCCTGACCAACCCCAACGCCATTGAGGCCGGTCAGCGATTCAACATCCGTGAGGGCGGCAGGACCGTGGCCACTGGTCTGGTCACCCGCATCATTCAGTAAATGTAACGATTAAAAAAACAACCCTGGAACAGCGTGGAGTTGTTGGAACGGAAAACAAAAATGAAAACGGTTGGGGAACTGGGCTCGATGCGTCCAAGAAATGCACATGTCAAAATCTTGGTCACAGGTTCCCGCGTTTGAGCCAAACTGAGCTCGTGTATAAGTTGTAAGAGGAAGTGGGCACATAAAATCTCCGCTTTGCTTCTTCCTTAATGTCTTGATATATGCTGTACTTTAGACGGGAGGGTTGGAGGCAGAAATAGAAATGCAAATGAATCTCCCTTTTCTTAATTTACTTGTTCCAGCATATAAATATGTAAACCACCTCGCCTTTAGGGAGACATTTAGGGAGAGATATTGGAAGGGGGTGGCTAGGACGAAATGTCGTGGACCTAATCACTCGAGATATGCGCGCATCCTGTATTGCCAAAACAAACAGATGCCTGTCACTACACCGGGACAGCCTACGAGAGCTGCGGCATGATTTAAGAGAGAAAAACTTTTCGGTCCATGGCATTCATAGGTCTTCTTGTCGTCATCCCCCAGCACAAAGAAAATAACACCAATAGAGCGGACGCAGTATGAAATTTTTTTCGAATGCAATGGTATTCGTCTATCCTCGGAGGATGTTCGTCAGACGCACGATCTTTCCTTAAAACCAAGCCATCCATTAAACTCCGGTTCCAGGCGGCCGCCCTCCGAGTGCTTTTTGTGTGTGGCCATCAAAAACGCAGCACGCATCCGTCAATCCCTTGCCTCCCCCTCGGAAGCCCCCATACAAACTCCTTTATCGGTACTGTAAGATACAAAGACATGTTAGCTGCTGTTTCTCAAATACCATATCCCTGAGTCCCCCTTCTCTGTTCCCTTTGCCGTTTCCCTCTTGTCCCTAGCTCTTCTATCGGTTGCTTCTGGATTGCTCACCTTGTGGAAACCAATGTCCTTGGCCTTCTCACGGAAGCATTGACGGCACAGGTTGAGGTCGTACTTGCGGACCAGACCGGCAGTGTGCTTGCAGACGCGGCTATAATGAAGAAAACGAGATCCAGTTAGCGATCGGTCTCTTTGTGAATTTTTTTCTCGCGGTTCGCCCATTTTCCCCATCCTCCCCAGTTTGACATTCGCTTGAAGTCGTGCAAGGGAAAAAAACCACCCAGCTCCAGAAAATAAAGGGTAGCATCAGGGCGTCATACCATTGGCGAGAGCCCTTGCCGTAGTTTCGCGGGCGCGAGTTCCAGACGCTTTCGTGGGACATGATTGCGGTTGTGGTGTTGCAAAGATGGTGATTTCGCGAGGGCACAAGTGGGCTGAAATTTTGTGTGAATTTGCTATGGCCTATGCTTGAACCGATTGGAGGGTTGTCAGCCCCGGCGAAGCGGGCCACCAAACCAAAGCCCAAAGGGCAAAGGGGGGATTTTGCACGTGTCACGTGCAGACCCCCGTGATGCTCTTATCATCACGTGAAACAAACGAAGGGAAATGATAAGCAATTGACTACTAGGTACGTACTAAGGGAGCTCTAGTGGGGGCGAATCCCTCGGTGAGGTGAGACGACTAATCGCATGCCGAGCTCCCCGCCTGTGCCTGATCCAACCGCATTCCTGGACTTGGCGCAAGCTGTCCTCTTTTTGTGCCCTTGATTTCAAAGCACTATTTCAGGTGACTCGCCGCGGTGGTTATCTTACGAGTTATAAGTGGTGTTTCTAGCTGGCCATAGCAATTACCCATCGACTGGCACTCCGTTCCCACTCCAGTTTATACAACCAACAAACATCCCCATTCTAGATCTTGCCTTGCCTGATACGTCATGGTTTTGATCAAGAGCCTCGTGCTGGCCGTGCTGGCCAGCTCGGTGGCTGCCAAATCGGCCGTTATCGACCTGATCCCCTCCAACTTTGACAAGCTCGTCTTCTCCGGAAAGCCCACGCTTGTCGAGTTCTTTGCTCCCTGGTGTGGCCACTGCAAGAACCTTGCCCCCGTGTACGAGGAGCTGGCCCAGGTCTACGAGTTTGCCAAGGACAAGGTCCAGATCGCAAAGGTCGATGCCGACTCCGAGCGGGATCTCGGGAAGCGATTTGGCATCCAGGGATTCCCCACGTTGAAGTTCTTCGACGGCAAGAGCAAGGAGCCGCAGGAGTATAAGTCGGGCCGTGATCTGGACAGCCTGACCGCATTCATCACTGAGAAGACCGGTATTAAGCCCAAGAAGAAGGGTGAGCTGCCCAGCAGCGTTGTTATGCTCAACAATAAGAGCTTTCATGAGACGGTTGGAAGCGACAAGAATGTGCTGGTTGCTTTCACTGCTCCCTGGTGTGGCCGTAAGTGCAGACCCTGGCCCCTGATGAAGTGACGTTTGGTATTTACTGGTGCTGCCTCATCTAGACTGCAAGAACCTGGCCCCTATCTGGGAGAAGGTTGCCCACGACTTTGCTGGTGATGAAAACGTTGTGATTGCCAAGGTCGATGCCGAGGGCGCTGACAGCAAGGCTGTTGCGGAGGAACATGGCATCACCGGCTACCCCACCATCTACTGGTTCCCCGCTGGCAGCAAGAAGCCTACTGATTATGAGGGCGGCCGATCTGAGAGCGACATCCTCAAGTTCGTCAACGAGAAGGCCGGCACATTCCGCACCGAGGGAGGCGAGCTGAGCGACATTGCTGGCACTGTTGCTCCCTTGGACACCATCGTGACCAAGTTCCTCGGTGGTCTTTCCTTGGCCGAGGCCGTTAACGAGATCAAGGAGGCTGTTGCCCAGCTCAAGGGCACGGCGGAGGCCAAATTCTCCGGCTACTACGCCCGCGTGTTCGACAAGCTGAACAAGGATGCCAAGTTTGTCAACAAGGAGCTCACCAGACTCAAGGGCATCTTGGCCAAGGGTGGCCTTGCCACTGGTAAGCGGGATGAGATTCAGGTCAAGGTCAACGTCCTGAACAAGTTTACCCCCAAGGATGAGAAGGACGAGCTGTAGGCCAGATACACCACTTGGACATTGATGAGAGAGGCAGAGAAAGAAAGAGAGACAGAAAGAGAGAAAGAGAAAGAAAGAAAGACAACATTCGTCAACTATCAAGCGATGAAAGCATCATAAATTGTATGAAACCCTGAGTTTACAGCTACATATCAAGACAAATGCATCATGATGAAGCCACAATAACCAACCAATTCCTCCCAAAACTCCGTACCATTTTGACGGGCTCTGATCCCTAGACGAGCTTTGCGTAGCTCCAATTTTATGTCATACTTCTGTTTCCATCATGAAGTTTTGGGTGCGGAGCCTGCTTCTTTGTTTTTGCTTTCTAACAGCGCCGCTTCAAGGTTATCGAGCCGGCGAGACATTTCGTCCACTTGACTCATGTTAGCATGAATGAAGCCACTTTACTTTGACCTTTCCGCGGTGGTGGCTACTCACTCTTGGCGAATATCTCGGATGAGACCCCAGCAAATTTGTTGGACAAGGAATTCAAGAGGTCTTCAACGGCGGCTGTAACATCGGCGCTGCTGTCCTCGTTGGCCTGTAGAAGCTTGGTTAGCCTGCTCTATCATTGTAGCTGGACCATCTCGTGAGAAAACAAAAAAGAAGGGCAGCAGATGTGGTGGCATTCTTGAGACTTGGTATGGCCGCTGAAGCCAAAGGCGTGATTGCGAATGCCCCAAGCTCGCTGGCAGTCTCCCCCAGTGTAATACAGAGTGGTAAAAATGTAGACTAGACATACAGGCGCCGGGTTGGAAGCGATAGAGTCACGATTTGATGCCATGTTGGCGTGAGATGAGATGAGACGAGACGATGCGCGGGATCGTTGATTCTTTCGGCGGGCAGTGGCGGGAGTCACGTTACAGACGAGTTGCTGAATTCACCTCCCTCGAAGCTTCGGTGGGCTGTGATGCCGCTTATATATCTGAAGGTGTCTCTTTGTCGGCTTGTTTCAGTTCGAGTCTGAACTCCAGGGAAAGGGGGGAGAGTTTTGGCTCCAGGTCAGGAATGAAGAGCACGAGCTCATGCTGGGCCCCTCCGCTTGCTCTCCGAAGTCGTGCTAGGCGGAGACTGGCTTTAGCGTGCTGGCCCTAAAACGGGGGGCTCTGTGACAGCGGGCTTCAGGGCCCCGTAGCGGCATCAATCGCTGCAGGCGTCCCCTGTAAGCTCGCTGCCCCGCCACAAGCTAGCGCGCCGCCGTGTTTCATTTTCGAGCGAGCCTTCGGGTGTCGCTGACCTTTGGTCACTCCGTGCCTTCGTGCTACCAGCTTGATGTTGACGACATTCTACACTCTACATCATACATCAATCCCATCTTCCCTGCGAGCCTCGATCCCCAGCACCTGCGCCGAGTCGACTCCGAGCAATCCTTGTCCTCGGAATTCCTGCGACAGTATTATCATGATAGCGGCATAGCCGATTCCGCGGCCTCAACCACTGCGCTGGGCAGCATGCCACTGCCGGACCTCCCCGCCTACAGAGTCCTCGGCATCATCTTCATCCTCTGGTGGATGCTGCCGGGCAGCGAGTACCAGAGCCAGTCGATAGCGTTGTCGGATCTCGTTGTCTCGCGCCTTGAGCACTACCGCGCATCCCTCAATGTGCTGAACACGACGCGCTGGGGGGACTTTGCTCCCCTGGTGGAGGGCGATGGCGATGACGCGAGCCCCAAATACGTCAACCTGACGGGATTTCGAGAGAAGGACCACTTGTCGTGGAGGGACCTGGGCCGGTTCCGCGAAAGAGGGCTGCAGCTCAGCCGCCATGCCATGCCAGCGGCTGGCGGCGAGCAGCTCTGGGATGTTGCACAGGGGGAGCCGGTATGGGCAAATGCTTCGGGGGTTCTTCTTGGACAGTGGGTGCGACGCCAGGAGACGATCCCGAGGACATACGAAAGCTACAATCTCAGCGACAGCGTGCCTTCGATGCATTGGATAGGAGATAGAATTGACTGGGCTCGCAACGTCACCGGCAACACTGGCAGGATTCAGGTACGACTGACAGGCAACGAGACGGTGACCGAATACGAGCAGCTCTCCACGGCCGATGCTCCCCTCTCTGGAGGCTTGATACGCAATGTCAAGGCCGTGGTGACGTTTGAAGACACGGAGGGGTCGGGACTGAGCTGGGAAATGATTCTTTTCGGGGTGCATTGGCCACGACAGGGCGTGATCATGATGACGACAACGAGCGAGAAATTCGATGGTGTCTTTGGGCTACCGCATCTGACGCCGGGGCCCGACTATTTCCAGTCCAGCCAGCGGTTTCTGAACGAATCCCTCGAGCACACTATAGCTACCAAGGAGAAGAACATCTATTCCGACCAGAGCATACCGTGGAAATCCAACTTTGAGAGCCCTCTCCACACTCGACATCCCTCTCCAAGTTGCGAATATGTCATGTATCTTCAAACCCATCCTCCGAGTAGACAGAGCCTGGGTCTCGGGCCTGCCGTTCCCAAGGGAGAGAACATGGCAGAGATGTTGCAAGCCATCGAGTCAGAGCTGGAATCTCCACTCGGCGCGCCCATCAAGCACATCCCAAAGCTCCAAATGTCGGCAGTCATCTACTCACCCGACTGCGGCCACTTCATGGAGTCAAAGGGGCCTCCTGATTTCCCCCGGAGCGAGGCCGACCACCTCCTCGGGGTGAAATTCGAGGTTCAGATCAGCAGCATCAACCATTGGCTGCTCGCATATGCGGTGATGATGTTTGGCCAGGTCATCTTGCTCAAGGGCCAAATGAAGGAGACGTATACCCCGTCCACTCTTGGCAGAGCCAGCTTTTGGACAATCAGCATGATGCTCATTGCTGATGGTATGACTTTCAGCGCGGCGGCGTCGTGGGTTGCTACGGCTCAGTATACCTTCTTGCCAACCCTGACGCTCACGTTTGCATCCTTTATGTCCATGACCATAGGAGGTAGCCTGTTAGCTAAGATTCACGAGGTGCAAACGCCACAGCCTCGAGCTCGTCGTGAAGGGCCCCAAGGCGCAGCCAGTCCAAACAGCGGGTCGGGCAGTACGGCCTCATCGGCACCGCTGACGCCAAACCGCACGGGCACGGCGACGGGCCCGATCCTTCCCGGGCCGGTAACCGCAGGACGTGGCCTCGGCGATCCGGCCGCTGCCAGCATCGCGGAGGGCGCTTCAGCCGTGCCTGGCGCACTCCCAGCTGCTGCGAGGCCAACTGTACCGCCGACGCAAAGTGCGACGTTTCAGTCGCTCATGGGCCGGTTCGTGCTCGCGGGTGCCCTCGTCATGTTCGTCAGCGTCTCATCCATAGCGTGGTACATGACGGCGCGCTCCTGGTTCCTCAACATCTGCGCCTTTGTCTACCTCTCCATGTGGGTTCCCCAGATATATCGCAACATCGTCCGCAACTGCCGCCGCGCCCTCAAGTGGCAGTTTGTCATCGGCCAGTCCCTCCTCCGGCTGCTCCCGCTGGCATACTTTTGGCTCAAGACGGATAACTTCCTCCTCACGCGGACCGAGCCCCGCGCTTTTGCCCTGCTTGGTCTTTGGGTCTGGTTGCAGATCTTCGTGCTCGCTACGCAAGATGCCGTGGGGCCGAGATTCGGCATACCCAAGGGCTGGATGCCCGATGCGTGGGACTACCATCCCGTCCTCAGAGAGGACAACGTCGAGGCCGGGGGCCTACCTATCGGCCTTGGCGCCGAGGACAGCCCCGGTCGTGATCGCGGGCGCAGCAGCGAGGATAGGGATAAAACTCGTCCCGGCGACGGCACCACGCGAGCTATCGACTGCGCCATCTGCCGCGAGGTGCTCGAGGTCCCCGTCGTCAAGGCGGGAGAAGAAGACATGAGCGTGACGGGCGTGTTTTCTAGGAGGATGTACATGGTGACCCCTTGCCGCCACATCTTCCACACCCCTTGTCTAGAGAGCTGGATGAAGTTCCGGCTGCAATGCCCGATATGCAGAGAGGATCTGCCGCCCATTTAGACTCGGAAAACCGTAAAAAAGAAAACGGGAAACAATTTTGTACAACAGCGGAATCGTGGAATAGCACGAGAGCGGGATTGGGGGGGTTTTTTTTTGTTCACGACGCCAGGGCGAGAGAGAAAAAAACCGCCGGTATATTAATACTACTTTGATCTTCTTTTCGATAGAATACCCAGCGCTTGTATTAAAAAAAAACTATGCTGCTTCCCATGTGCATCAACCTTTAATCCTGTTGCGTGAGCTCATATCTTTGTTGTCAACCCCCAAAACTTGCCATGAATGAAAAATATAGATCAATAAATAAAGAGCAGATTTTCGCCTTGATCATGCAGCTCAACCAAAAACCAAAGTGTGAAAAGAAAAAAAAGAAAAAGGAAAGGAAAAAAAAAAGCAAGAGATAAGAAGACAGGAGAAAAGAAATATAGTTCATGGCCCTTATAGTAACATTACCGCTCATCATCCCTACGTCTTTACCCATGCAATCCAAAACAGCATGACCGATACTCCCCCAAAAAGAACATTGGCATAAATATTCATAACTTGTGGACATGGCAAAGAAATCGCAAAGATCATTAATAAAAGTCGTGAGCAAAGAAGGGGGCATGCGTAGTCTTCACCAAGTGATTCGGGTCGCCTTGTGTCGTCGGTCCTTCATCCCCTGGCGCAAATCTCGGGAGCCCACAGTGAGCTGAGCGAATCTCTCCCGTAAATCGAAATCGACAGACTGAACCATGATCCTCTTTTCCTCTGGAATCGCTCGGCTTGGAAGAACGGCCTGCGTTGGCCCGCCGGGAAAACTCATCTCAGGAAAAGGATTGTCAGACTCCTCTATCTCCATGATCCATTGAGCAATGTTGGCAGTCAACTCGCTGTCCCACATGCCCTCTCGCCGAGCGCTGCTCCTCAAAAGTTGGATTGCTTCTCGCCTAACGGTTGGCTCTCTGCATTTAGTAGCCACGACGAAGAGCGGCGGTACAATTCCAAGGTCTGCGGAGAAGCTGGGCTTGATGTGATGAGTTGTGTATTTTCCCGCCCTAAACGCAGGCAGTGGTATGCCGTGCTGCTGCTTGCACCTCTGCGGATCGGGGCATCGCTCAGGAGCCGCTCGCTTCTCGTCATCACCAACCACCTCCCAGCCAAGGCTAACAATAGCCTTGAAATGGGGGAGGAAGCCATCAAATTGAACCTCGGCGTCGCAGAAAATAGTCAAGAATATGACATGCATGTTGATATGAAACATTTTCAAGGCTGCTATGCCCGACTTCTGCAGGAGATTCATGCCAAGTTGAAGCCGTGATTGGAAGATGGGTTCAAAGGCCTCTGACCACGAGTCAATTTGGCCCTGAAATGTTGCACCTAATTGTCTCCAGGATGGGGGTAAAGTGTAAGAAGGTTCTTTTTTAGCATGCTGCAAGTGTTCGATGAATCGTAGCAACATCTCGCAGAGCTGATCTGAAGCCAGGCGAGCTTCTCGTAAAGATGAAAATTGATGGGGTATGAGCTTAGGTGGCTGAGGTGAACCCATTTCTGAGAGGGGTGAAGATGGGTCTTGTAAGCTCTGAGGGCCTAGTTGAATCACATATGGATGGGGGAAATGGAAAGCCATGTCGTACGATTTGGCCTGAATTGCCAATCGTGTGAAAATGACCAGCAGATCTTCTTCGACCCGTTCATTGGAAGGAGGGGCTTGCGTCCGCTCATATTGAATCCGAGCCAGAAGCCCCAATCCTGTTTGAATCTGGACAATGGCCTGCCGATGATCACCGATAAAGGAGTCAAAACAGGCCAACAAGACGCTAGCCATCAGACGGGTCTTGTTGGTTGCCAGCTTGTTACCGCTGAGATGCAGCATAGCATTGCAAGCTTCCGAGTATTTTCTGACGGCAACCTGCCAATGACACATGACTGAGTCCAACCGGCTCATGGCACCAGGTAGCGGTGTCGAGTCCGGTTCACAAGACTGTTCAAGCGTCTTATACAAGGCACCAAGGGCCACGACGGCGTGTCGAATGGACGGTTCGAAGTGGCATTCCTGTAGAACACGCTGCGTCCAAAAGTTGCAATCAAAGTATCCAGACAGCTCGGCAGCCGTCTGGACTCGAAAAAGATCAAAGTACAGACTTTCGGTGTGCATCAAGGCCAAGTTGTGAGATGGTTCATACACAAAAGGCATGGTGGCATTGGAGGCGAGAGTTTTGGTCTGCCGCTTGCGACGGTTAACACGCCGAGGCGGGAGCATAACGGCACGGCCTATGGGCAAAAGGCTAGCAGTGGTTAAAGTTGAAGCGCTCGCAATACTGCTTGGCGCCGGCTGCAGATGTTGGAACCCAGCCGATGCGGCAACCAAAGGCTTCGGAGCAATGCGGACGTCAAGAGCAGTCCTGGTCCCGCGATTGGGCGCCGGGTAGCCAGTGCAGTCCTTCTTGCTGCGGACGCACTGTGAGCAAGCCGGACGCATCTCATCACACTTGATGCGCCGCTGTCTGTGGACGGAGCTTGTTAGCGGGTTGTCCGAGATGAGGCGCTGGGGGTGTGAGGACAGGAGAGAGCAGTGGGGAAGGAGAAGCAGAAGGAATATCATGGTGGCAACCATAACAGCAAGAGACTGTACACTCCATGGTTATGTCAAAGTTCAAATGTTCTTACTTGCAGTTCAAGCATCCCGTCTTGACCTTGGGGTTGCTTCGTCGGTTTCGCTTCTTGGGCGCCTCGCTGCCATTATCGCGGCCAACAGCTGAAGCCATGGGCAGGCCAATGCCGCTCGATGACAACGATGGCCCCATGCCGTCAGGATCGGGAGAGCCCGTTGGAGTCGCGGCTGGAGTTTGGTATGAGTCCTCCGCCGAGACCGTAGCCGCCGGCCCGGGGCCAGGAGCAGCCATAGCAAGGATAAAGAGAGAGAAAGGTGAGAGCCCGCGCCGCTGGGGATTGTACAGCTAACAAAGCGTCATACAGGCGGTAAGACCTGCTATAGGGTTTGCGAAATATGAAATAAAAGCAACAACAACAAGAAGAAGAAGATGATGATGATGAAGAAGAAGAAGGAGAAGCAAAAATAAAGAATCGAAGACTCGGGGAACGTATGGCGGGGGTTTGTTGAACGGGGAGGTGACCTGTCTTATCAGTTATATGCCAATTGACGGGAAGCTACCTATGCGCCTTGCAGGTTGTAGCTGCCGTCGTAGCGAAGCTACTAGACCTATAACCTAGCCCGCAGAGTGGAGTCGAGGCGAGACAGCGGATGCCGCTATTGTGATACTACACCTCAGGTACGAGTACAAGATACAAGACCTTCAAGGTACGAGTGCGAGTACAGCGCAGTATTGAGGTAAGACAGACGTGCATGAGGGAAATTATAACAACCTACTAAGTTACTGACAGCAGGACGAGGAGCAAAAACGAGGCGAGGACTGTACGGGTACAAGGAGGATTACGGGAGAGAGATGCAGTGCAGTGCAGTGTGCTGGGCTGGGATGGGCTGGGCAGGGCATACCGCGGCAGCCTTGGGCGGCTCAAATACTCGTACATGTAGGTACGCCAGTTCACCAGGTCTGCTGGCTTAATTCATGCTGGAGCCGCAGACAGACACAAACACACATCCATCAGACGTACGAGTACGCGCGCAGAGCAGACGCAGAGTCGCTGACAATCGTGTATGCACATGCCGCCGCCGTCATGCAGGTCCCCCTAGGGCCACTGCAGACAGGGCTGCTTTGGTGTGTCCCTCCTGGTGGGGGACTGTTGATTACATGTACCTACCCGTACTTCAAAGCCTGCATGGAGTTGGGTTAGGTACTGCTAGCACAATTGCGGTGTACGGAGTGGTGGGAATACTCCAAGGGAATAAAATGCTACCCGGCCCAACTCAACCTAATCAGTACCGTAGTGGCCCTTGGTAGCAACTTATATATCGACATGGAGCCGCAAGGGCTCTGGCAGTTGGTTCCGGGCAGGTACACGGTACGGTACGGTACGGTACGGTACGGTACGGTACGGTACGGTACTTGGGCGACAGCCGGTGACAGGTGCGTTAATATGCATCGTATCAACGCCAGCCAGGATGAACTGAACTGGCCGTGAGCTTGTCGGGGCGGTGGACGACGTGCATTGCTGGTGGCAGTTGACGGCTTGCAGGCATCGCCGGGGTTTCTTGGACACCACAGGGCGACGCCATTGCACCACCGACTCGGGTAGCAATACTAGCCGGCTACCTGCTCGTAGTAGAGGTACTTGCCTGACAGGCGGGTAAATGGCCATGGATCAAAATGTCAAAGTGCCGCCATGTCTCCACGATGTCGTGCCCATATGAGGCAAGAGAACCATCACACGTAATACGCGCCATCAGCGAGCAAAGGCAGTACGGTAGAGACTTTGACAAGGAACAACATGTCCGACGGGTCACCGCCATCGTATAGTAGACTTTGACGCGGCCGTCCTCTTGTACTCATACTCGTACTCCCTTGCTCGTCGTCATGTACCAGCATCTACATGTACTGTTGGGATGGTGGGGATGCCCTCAAAGAATCAAAGTCAACTGACGCTTTAGTTGCCATGCCGCCAACCTCAAATCTTTCCCCTTCCACAACGCCCAACTCGCGCTACCAAAGTTCAAATCACCTCGGCACACATAGTTCGCACCTTAGCTCGCGGTGGACGGCCCCAAATCGCCCAAATCGCCCATTTCAGACGCATGCTGCCCTCCAAAGATGCCGCTAGGCACCGCGCTCTAGCGGCACTTTTTCTTGGCTGCTGCTTTCAATCTGATCTCTGCTTGTCCGTGGACTTGCACCAACGCATCGATGGAGCATGCATGCGACAGGCAAGATTGACGATCCACGTGTCGCTGCCGCCACACGACTGCAGTTGAAGTTCAGGTTCAGGTTCAGGCTCAGGTTGGTAACGACAATGACACTTGACCCGTATCTGCTTCGCTGTGCCAGTGCTAACGACCTGGCATGGACCGCTTGTCTGTGCCGATACTTGACATCACCAAGTTGCAC